AGCACTGAAGAAATGAAGTTTTAATAAAGAGGCCAGGCCGAAGTTCTCAAATGTATGAATTTCTAATGATCCGTATGTCTGCTCCATCAAAGGTGTTTAGAAATCGGCTTTTGGTCGCAAAATTGTCCCAATATGACGAGCACTGAAGAAATGAAGTTTTAATAAAAATCTGAGGCCGAAGTTCTCAAATGTATGAATTTCTAATGATCCGTATGTCTGCTCCATCAAAGGTGTTTAGAAATCGGCTTTTGGGGAGATCGCAAAATTCAATCCACCATTTGTGATTCAAAGAGGAAAGCCTGAAGTTCGTAGCATTGTCGAACTGAGAAAAATTCGTTCAAAAAAGTCACTGCATCTGAAACCAGGACTTTCCTCTCGATCAGTCAACTCATTAGCATTTTGCACGAACCGGGGCATGTGACGCTCTGCAACCAGGATGTAGGTTTATAATCTGGAGTCGAAGTGAGATGAACCATTGTTACAAACCTAACGACTGATTTGAGAGATAGTTGACGTACTTATGAACAATGTGCTGACTCTGACGGCATGTAAGTTAGTGGAGAAGCACATCCGCACTGACTGACAATGTACCCGTCATGAAAGATACAGAAGAATCGTCTTAAATTAATATTTAAAAAAACAGGTGACACAACAGTTGTACGTTGTACTTATCGTTACGCTCACGAAATACAGAAACAAAAAAAGGTACCTAGGTGCTGTTAAGGCTTCATTAAGTCTGACATCCGGTGGGTACATTCCGAGACGATGTATCACTTGCGATACTTATGTCTGGAGGACAGGAATAGAAAACCTAGAATTATCTAGCAACGACAAACGAAAGACTAGGTGGATGATTGTGGACAATCAGGGTGGGCAAGTTCCATTTAACATCTGATTTCCATGGACGGCCCGCGTGCGATCCCCTCTTCCAACATTAGTCGCACAACGTGCATTCCCGGAGCGCGTGCTAGCCGGAGGATCACACTCACCAAAGCCCAGTTGTGGATTGACGCCCGTTGGTGGGACACCATTCGTCCCATTTCCGTTCCCAGAAACATGACTTGTCTGTGGAGCAGCGTGGTGACTCGTGTTCAACTCAAGCAACTGTAACTGTCGTAAATTCCCAGATTCCGACAACCACTGACGAAAGCGCTGGTCAACAAGAGTTCCAAACAGTTGACGTTGTTCCGCTGTTAGGTGTGCATTCTAAAGGCAAATAAAAACATAGACTTGACTATTTTGCAATAATTCTTGTGGCGCACTCTGAAAAGACTCCCAGAAGTCGTTTTTTGAGCTTACAAACACGGATGAGTTTGGACCGTCTTGTGCTGGTAATTTTTATAATCCTATGGCCTACTTTTATGCAAAGGCACAGGAAAAGGACAAGGGATGAATCAGCTAGTACAGGAGTTTTAAAAAATAGCGCTGAGGACTTGCAAACAATGTTGAACGGCTGAATAACAAGCCGACTAGGGAATGCAAGGATACACGTCGCGACAAAACCGAATGACCGCAATGTTTTCCCAGGAGTCAGTGTTTGTTGAGCCGTAAGAGGTTGAAAATTTTACTGGTAAAATGGTAGATCTGGAAAATTCCCAATGGGTGAACAGAAACTAGAGGTGGCCTGGACGATTACTAATGTGTTCAGTGTCGAATTCCTTGCACAGCTCTTTGCCCAGCCCTGTGCTGAGTGGACGCGACCGAGAGGTGAACAATGTATGAACTGGCAACGAAGTACGAAACTAACGAGTGAACTTGGTCGACTGGGCAACTGCCGCCTCCCTTGGACTCAAATCGCCAGTGGTTATTGACATTGGTAGAAATGGCCCAACTGCGCAATCAGTGGCGCTCGTGCATCAAAGCCATTGCCTTCAACGCGTAGCTAGCCAATTTCCGAACAACTGAGCATGCCCTTCGCCTCCAAGGCTTGGTTTTGTATTCCACTTTCCCGTTTTCCGGTAATCGAAACTGTAGCAGCTGGAACCAATGTGCCTATGGCACACGGTTTATAGCTGATAAATTGAATTGAACCTGAGGCTTTTCCGCACGTAAATAATTTCTATTAAACGATAAATAAACCACATAAAATGTGTACCTTTTGGGTGAGTGCCTACCATCCTTTATCTTGTCTACATGTGTGCCCGTACTTAATCCCTCGCATTTCGGGAATAGAGAACTTATTACTGCCTGTGCATTACAAAGCAGAGCATGACGACATAAAACCTATAATACCAGTGGTTGCCGGAATACGCCAATTCGTACCAACCGGAAGTCGAACCCCACTTATCAGTTAGGATGGAATGTCATCCAGGGATCAGTCTAAGCTGTTGTGTCTAGCTGAGCTACGATCATGCAGCATTCAAGCTCGTGGGGAAACACCCAACAAATGACCAAATCGATTGCGCCGTAGTACTGGAGTCAAACAATATTTGCATAATAGCGTTGTAACTCGGCCAACTCCACGCGGCGGAACAGAAAGCAGTTCTTGGCGGGGTGAGGGGTGTACATCTGGACGCTGTCTTGCAAATATGCTGCCTCCTGCCCAGTTGTGACAGTAATAAATGTTTCAATGTACGGCGGTATGCGAAACTTTCGAGTACCGGTGGTTGCCTGTAATCTGCTCATTCCGCAGGCTAAGAAGGCAGCCCAAATCAGCAGTCTTTGACGGAAAATGACTTTTGTGACGTTCATCATCATCCTCAGAGACAGGAGCATCAGTGTTGACAGCGATGCTTCACTGACGTACAACCACAATATGTGACAAGTGCATGCGCCGTGTGATTCTGTTGTTCAAGGCCACCTACAAGGAATTTTTATTCATCGTTAGCCATGAAATAGTTCCAATGCTGACTCCAACAGACGGAGGATTGAGCTCGAAATAAGCAGTATTCATCCTGAAACCATCTAACCCTGGTATACTTCTTTCCTTGCTTAGGAGAGCATAGAATATTTGCTTCTTCGGAGAAAGCATTATTGTCTCACAGAGTAGCAATGATACTATCAAAAGTCATATTAAATGTAGCAAACCAGACGGTTGTGACGGGCGATAGACTGTACTATGTCTAAGTGAATCCGGAAGGGAAAATTTGTAAACATCCTAAATGAGATGAAGAATACGAAAACCATGTAGTTGTTTAGAGACAAAGATCCAGCCATTATGCAATACGTGAGTCCAACGACAAGAAGTGAGTGAAGCACATACAATTGGTTTAGATCACCTTTAAAGCTGAAATCGAGGCTCGTGTTTCTGGTCTGAAGAGTGCACGATTCAACTTCGATGTTGGTATTACGGTTATTTGAGCCCGTGCGACTCTGCTTAGGCAGTCGGTAGCTCTGCTTCACTAGAATGCCAGGGCTAAATGACGAACGAGTAGGCCATGAACAATCTACTTAGTTACTGGGATACATTGTTCAATAAGGGTAATACAACATTCCTTACAGCGATATGATGCGGCCACTTTCGGTAGATAGCAGCGCGCTGTCGGAGTGCGTTGACGTAGGCTGGTGGCAAGGGGATCGGTAATCTGAGCTTTACCATTTCAAGATAGTCCTTCAGGCCGCCACCTTCAGAGTCGTTGAAGAACCGATGCGTGTCTGTTATTAGGCATGCGCTCAGGTCAAAAATGTCGCTAGATGGACGGGCAGACCTGTCACCTGCATGTTCGGGATTGTCATGCAATGTTCCGGTACCTAGGATCTCCGACTTCGTGGGTAACAGCCAAGGTATATTGAACGGGTAGAAGTGTGCTGGGTGCATTAAGTCCCAGCATCGCCCGCGACCTGGAAGAAGCACCCCGTTGGCCTGATCGGTGTGACTAACATCTTGACCTACAATAATAAAGACACGATGCGGTCAAGTAGTGCGCTGCAGTGAGAGGGTAATGGTTAGTACGAAAAGGCATCGCACCAGTCAATTACCAAGCAAACGTTTGGGTACCTGTCACCACAACTAAGGAACGCGCGTCTTAGGAAAAAGGATGAAAACTTGTGTGAGAGATGAAATTTATGAAAAATCCTGAATATAGAATCATTCACTGGACGACTCAAGGCTACCTAGCACCTGTTAACAGCAAGTTGACCGTTGAAAACAAATTTAGGTGAGTGAACGTCAGTAAACTGTCTCTGCCCAGCGACTTAAGCTGAAAGTCGTCTGAAACAACAATCTGGAATGCTGATTCAGGGTTGTTTCATTGGTTGCGATCCGACCGTGAAGTATGGTGGACACAGAAAGTCAAAGAAATGGAAGAGGCCCAGAAAGCCGGTAATGCCCGGAGATTATTTCAGTTGATCCGTGCGACCGGTCCCCGGAAACCACCTGTGAGTGAAAGCATCAAGCATCAGAATGGAACGACCATCTCTAATAAGGAGGAACGCCTTGACCGGTGG